TTGTGTCACTTGGAAAGGCAGCATCTTCAACAGTGAAGCAGTCCCTCACCACTACACTGCAAATCAAGCAACTTTATGTTTAAGATTCTGAATTGGAGTACAATCCGCTACCATGTGACTTCAGCAACCACCTCCGCAGTTTATGGTACCATTATTTCTACGAGTTCGGTGCAGTATTTATTTAATTCTATAGAAATTTCACACAGCCTGTTTTGCAATTCAATGCTGGGGCATACTGAAATCGGTTTTTGATGGCTTTTGATTTACATCACAGAGGCGTCCATAATCCAGCTGCAAGTGGATTCGGTTTAGTAACCTGACTTGAGGTGGTACATGACATAAAACTAATTTGAAATGATGGTAGGGTATCTGAAGTTGGCGCAGAATGTAGTTAACCTTTTGTATGGTAATCTAAATAGAGCTACACACTCGGCCTGACCCATGGTAACCGCACTTAAGAATTAATTAACAAGATTCAAAAAGTTGATAAAATGTTCCCGCTTGTTGGCACTGACTGGAATATTGATGAAAATGAAGAGGATGTATTGAGTAAGGAATTTCTGAAACAAATGCAGAAAATGCTGAGAATGCTTGTCGGTGTGAACAGCAATACCAAATAAGAATTGCTGAATATTTTATCACTCGGGATATGTGTTGATAAAGGGCAGTGTCAATATTTGCTAAACAGTCTCAGCTTCTATGTGCTGGAAAATGTTAATGATTTTAGAGGTTTATATTGACATGCTTAGTTAATTTTGTGGGTTTTTTTTAAGCATTGTATTGAAAGAAATGACATCTAACACACCTCCACTGTGGGACCCCCACTGAGAAATTTCCAGTTCAAACGAGTTCTTTGGAATGATTGAGGAGGATTTGTTGAAGTCATATTCACATATTGTTATGGGAACCTCGAAAGACAACATAAAACCTGTAGACTGAGTAAGCCCAGGGGGGTGGCTAATGAGGGTCCAGCAACAAGTTAATGATTTGTTGCATTGCAGTTAATATCCAATAATGTGTACAATTCTGATGATAAATTTTTATATGTCTCGTTGGGGTGATCACCTTATCCAGAGGATGAGTGTGTAACATTGGCCCTGCTGACACTGCACAGGCGCAATCATCATTTGTAGGGGAAAGCAATGGCCTCGTGGCATTATCGCTGGACTGTTAATCCAGAGAACCAAGTATTGATTTGGAACCTGGGTTTGAATCCTGACATGGCAGATGGTGGAATTTGAATTCACTAAAAATCTGGAATTAGAAGTCTAATGATGACCACCAAACTATTGTCGATTATCAGGAGAAAAAAACCCATCAGGTTTTTAGGAAGAAAACTCATCCTTACCTGGTCTGGCTTACATGTGACTCCAGACCCACAGCAATGTAGTTGACTCTTAACTGTCACATGGGCAATAAATGCTGGCCTAGCCACTGATGTCCTCATTATGTGAAAGCTTTTTTGAAGAAAATTCAAATGACTGGGAACCAATTGTGGAAACATTACTGGAATGGGGAAAAATCTAGCTCTGACTCCTTTTAGGAGGAAGAGAAATGGAGTTCTTAAAAACATCAAACCCGCAACCTTTTGATCTGAGATGGACTAGCCACTAATTAAGCTTCAGCTTATACTGTTAGAGACTTTTAACACAGCTCCTGGATAAAAAGTCATAAAAATATTTCACCGTCACCATTGTATTCTTTTGAAGAAGATCCGAGTTGTTGAATATGGATAATCCAGCTGAAACTCTTGATCCAAAAGCCTAAGAAACCAAATAGTATTGAAAATAGGAGTCCTGTGCAGATTTTGGATTGATCAAGGAATTGGTTGCATTATCATGGATAGAGAGTTATTAATAAAAGCCCCAAGGGTCAGTGCTTACATGAGTTGCTCGTTATCCAAGGTTTGAATGAAGGTGATACAGGAACTGCCTGCACATTTCGCTGATAATGCTAAGATATGTGACAGTCTAGGAATGTAGAAGTGGAAAGTAGATCGTTTGCCAGCAGATCTGGCTATTATGACGAATTGGCTGACTCTTGGCAGATGTCATTGTAATAAATGTAACATTATACGTGTGGATGGTGCCAGGTCCGTATATGTGTTCATCCTGATGCATTACATCTTCCAGTGTGCTTGCTGAAGAGGCAGCCATGGATGTGGTCATATATGAATCACTGAAAGACCCCTAAACTGGCATTGCAAGACTACTGCACGAGCAAATAGTGGTATGAATTGCTAGGATGGATGTATACAAAATATTAGACTGTTTCTGTTTATGAAGTAATTGGTGCAAACAAAAAGATGGCCGTGAAAATGATCACCTGTACACGTATGAATGAGCCCATTGAGGTCAGTTAATGGTGATAGATGTCCCTGAGCCATTATCTACTTGCAGTCCATTCTGGGCCTAAAACGACATGGTCTGCACAGGTACAAATGGCCTAATTGAATCTGAATTTCCACTGCCCACAGGAGCCTATAACTGAGAATCTTAGACTAAGGCCAAAGGGTGTTTAAGTATTGTTGACCATTGACCAGCCGGGCAGCTCCTCATAGTGAGCTTAGGAGAGAGAGTGGCTCAGAGCTGGATGAGGACTTGGGCAGAGAGAGAGGGCTGATGGTGGTGGCAGCACAGAGAAGCCCCCATCTCCTTTCCACTTGGAAGGCAGCTGCATTGTACCTTCTAGCAGTGATGTTCTACAAAACACAGCTTTTTGTACATGGCTTTATTCAGGCCTTAAGCTGAATGCTGCATGTATGTTCTGGTGCATGCTGGCTGCATCGCAATACCTGCTTCTATTAATATAAAACAAAGGACTACAGATGCTGGAGATGTCTGGAAGAAGAACAGAAGTTCTGGGAGAAACTCAGCAGATCTGGCAGCATCTGTGGAGAGGGAAACAGAGTTAATGTTTCGAGTCCAGTGACACTTCTTCAGACTTGAGAGCAGCTAGGAAAAGGTACAGTTTATATTGATGGGGAAGGTGGATGAAGGAATGAGTGGCTAGTTGGAGATGGCATGAACACCACCTTCCATGTCTAGTACCCGCCCCCACACAACATGCACTGCCATGATATCGGCTGCTTTCAGTACATCCAATCCATTTTGCACCAACTTACAGGGCCAGTGATCACCTGATTCAGCTTTTCTTCTTCCCAGGTTTACTATCAACAATCTGTCTGTCTGCCTGACTTCTCCCTCTCGCGTGCGCTCACGCTCTCTCGCTCTCGCTAACGTGCTCTCGCTCTCTCCCCACAGATGCTCCAGACCTGTTGAGTTTCTCCAGCATTTTCTGTTCTTGTTGCTTCTGTTAATATCTTCTCTGGATCTATCCCTCTGCAACCTTTACCACTCTGTTTCTCCTTTGCGCTATGATGCATTGACACAGAAACCAGAAGCAGGAATAGGTCATTCGGCCCTTCGAGCCTGCTGATGATCCAACTCAGTCCCCTGTTCCTGTTTTATTCCCACACCCTTTAGCCCTAAGAACTGTGAACGCTTTTAGATAATGTTTTAGCCTCTACCATTTTTGGTGGCAGAGAATTCCTCATCACCTTCTGGGTGAAAAAAGTCTTCATCCTGTGATCTGTACCTTTTTTCTTTCAGTTCCATTTGTCCCTCCTCAGTTTTTGTACAGTGTAAAACCCATCACTTTTTCCACATCTCTGCAGTTCTGAAGAAGAATCATATTAGACTTGAAACGTTAACTCTCTTCCTCTCTCCACAGATGTAGCCAGATGGTTGAAGTTTCTGCAGCACTTCCTGTTTTTATTGTCAATTTCCTGCATCTGCTGTTTTAGTTGAGATAATCCCAAGGGCCAGGGTCTGATTCAAGTCCCACCACTGCAGTGGCTGGAATGTAGATTACAGTCACAATATCTGCAAATGAAGACTGGTTCGGGAATCTATCATCCAATTGTTATTTAAAATAAAAATTATCTGGTTCACTAATGACCTTCAAGGAAGGAAATCTGCCATCCTTACCTGATCTGTCCTACATGTGACTCCAGACCAACAGCAAGGTGGTTGACTCTTAACTGCTCTGTGAAATGACTGACAAACCAGTTCAAGGGCAACTAAAGATGGGCAACAAATGCTGGCCTTGCCAGTGACATTCACATCCCATAAAAGAATAAAATCAGTCTCAGTATATGGGATATTTGACTGGGGGTAGGAATACAGAACATGAATGTAACATTTTCAAGCATGGCACTAAGTTAAGTGCTACAGTAAGCATCTCTACAGGATGAGCCGTTGATTGTGGAGCTGTTTTGTAGATGAGAGCAGATGTTCCTTCGCTGAACTTCCTGACTTTTATTTAATCCCTCCTGATCAGTTAAGTGACCACAAAAATCTAACAATATTTCACGTTGCAAGGATCCAATTTATTGGAACAAAAGCTTCCCCAACTTTGAAAAGGTGATGAAGTTTCATGTCCATTTGTCACTGTAATGCCCTCACTCTGGTCAGCTGTCTAGCATACTCTGGGTTTTTTTTTGTGCCTAGTCTCGATGCTTCTGTAGAGTGTACGATTGTGGCCATAAATACTGATTGCTCAGCTGCAGCTAAAGTTTACAGTTTCTCTTCTGTGGTGATTTTTATTTTCATTGAATTGTGCAATTTCCTTCCAATGTGAGTGGGTATTTGCCAGTTGATGAGATTTAAGGTCAGACCATCCGTGGGTGTCTACAGCAGTGATTGATTCATCAAGCTATACCATGACAAAGCCACAGAACAAACTGTCATTTAAATGCATCCGAAGGCATGACCATCTTTCCCATCAATTGGTTACGCAGTGGAATTACCTCAGTGTGTGTGAGCTTACCCAGGGAAACAAGGTCCCCTGCAGATAGAAGCACATACACCACTGCTCATGCAGAGGAACAGAGTATCCATGGTTACAGAAGCCAGACCAACACATACCTGTTGAAACAAGCTTTTGTGCGGTTGAATTCACGAGATGGATCACTCTGTCCTTCAGAGTTTGCACAGAGTCTCAAAGTCTCTGATACCATCTCGGTGTGCCAGCTTGTGAAGTGGCAGAAGGCAGCTTCTTCCAGATACTTCTGATGCCGCAGACCGTGTAAGAAACAGGAAATATGAATTGTAAGTGGTTCCATGGAAATGCCCAGGTTGTAAATTCCTTACGCTAACTAAAATTGAGCATCATAGAGCACTGAAACTGATCCTTCGGTTTGTTGAGATTGTTTGTCTTATGCTGACTATATGGACTTCACATCATTTTGATGCAATGATTTTCATGTTTCTGTCATCTGTTTTGATTCCTTGAGCTTATTAAGCTGACCTTAACCCTATCAAAATGCTGGTTGGAAATGTTTAAAGCTGATTTTGAGTTCCATTCTAATTGTACAGCACACCCATTCTCCAATAGGAAGGTGAAGTGCTGAAAAGATGAGAATCGAACCAGGAGAACTGTTCCACCATTTTCCATTGGTGGGTGGGCAAAACCCATGGTTCAGGTGGGTACAGGCCCAGGACCTGAAATCCACTGTAAAAGAGATTCTTGGTATCATCTCCCTGTCACCTCTCCTCAGTGTTTTTTACAGCAGTCATGAACAATATTTCTAATTTAACCAGTTCAGACATGTTATCTGGAGCAAGTGGGACTTGAAACCAGGCCTTCTTGCCCAGAAATGGGGACATTACCGTGGCACCACAAGCGCAATAATTATACACTGTCAGTTCACGATTAAATGTCCAAATTTCAGTTCTGAAGAAGTGTCATTGAACTCCAGACATTTTGTTTCTCTCTCCACAGATGCTGCCAGAACTGCTGAGTTTCTCCAGCATTATCTGTTTTTAAACAAGTAACTGAGTCTGTCCTCTTCAATCAGGCACAAAGCCCTCTTTGTGTCCCTCAGATTCTTCAATTGGTTCCAAATGCAACCTGGTGTCTTATCTCTTCTGATGATTTATGTGGTTGACTTGTATGCTGTTTCCTCCAGTGTCACTGTCTGCATTTTGTGTTTGGGCCTTACTCATTGCTTCAAGCTGTGAAGGCAGAACCCCTTGTACAGCAGCAAACGATGTATTTGTCTGCACCACGATACCAAATGGTAAGTACGGATGTGAAAAATAAAATTATTTTCTGCAAATCATACTGTAATGGATTGGGTGCATTTTTTCAAACTGTGCACTCAAAATTTAGGAAATACATTTGGAAAATGTTTGACAGCTGCTTTTAAAGAAAGTACCGTAAGTATTAACTCTTTTAGAACGCAAGCTAAAAATTGAATTATTTTTGGAATCTTTTATCTTTCAGCTTCGTTCTATCCCCCCAACTTAAAACATCTTGTTTTTGTGGTGCTGAGTGGGTTTGAGTCAATCAACAATACAATGCTCAGCAGTTTAAACCTGAACTCTGTGACAAACCTGACAGTATCCAACAGTGATATCGCCAGCATTGAGCAAGGAGCCTTTGATTCTTTCCTCCAACTCACTGGCCTGAATCTAAATGGTAACAAACTCTCAAATATCAATGCTGCTTGGTTTTTTGACGCTGCCGGCCTGATTAGCCTTTCCCTGTCCAGAAACAGAATTCAGGCAATTGGAGTAGACACCCTGTCCCGTTTCTCCAATCTGGTTGAACTTTACCTCTCTCAGAATAAGATAAACACAATAGCTGACCAGAGTCTCCGTGGGAATTTGAAGCTCTCCATTCTGGACCTCTCCAGCAATAAGCTGGTTTTCCTGACGGAACAGGCTTTGGCAGGGCCAAATCTCCAGAGGATCAGTCTTCACACCAATCCTTGGAGTTGTTTGTGTGAACATGCAGATTGGATGTCCTTTCTGAGAGGTAACTTGTTTTAATTAATGAGGTTGTACTGACTCTTGCTAATCAGGTAACTGTTTTGATGAAGGGTCACTGGACGTGAAACATTAATGCTATTTTTCTCTCTCCAGATGCTGCCAGACCTTAGTTTATCTGGTGCTTTCTGTTTACATTAGCAAACTTAGGAATGTTTTAATACTTAATTTCATACTATGAAAATGATTCAATTTCTCAGGCTTAGCAAAGAACATGCCATTATGTCATTGAATGAATAAATCAATATGTGATGCAATCTTCAGAACATGTTCTCTCCCCTGTCTTTCCCAACTATCTAACCTAACTTTTTCTGTCCCCTCTCCTGTTTGTCTGCCTTCCACTCTACAGACTTTCCAAAAGCCTGCTTTGTTGACCTTTCTTGTTGCTTCTCAAGGATCTTTAGACCCTTTCACCCAGAATTCAAGATTTTTGAAAAGCACTATTCATCAAGTTTTTTTTTCATGTTAATGTTGTGTTAATTTTCATTGGAGATTATAAAAAGAGAATGTTGCAAACGTGTTGAAAAATCATTGGAATATATATCATGAAAGGTGATCATGTCATTGGAGCCTTGAACTTTGAACTGTAGTACAAATTATGTTTTCAAATGTTATTCAGTTTTGGTTCTGTCTTGTGCACATCCAAAGTTATTTGAAGTTTAAGTTTCACAAGAACTTTTGAAACGTCCTGCATTGATTGAAAATGTTGAGCTGGGTCTCTCTGAACAATTGTACCATCACTATTTCCAGATCTCAACAATAACTCTGTGTTGGTGCAAGGATGTTCTGTTACTTGCAATGATCCCCCCAACTTGAAGGGAATCCCTGTCTGGAATGCATCTGATTTTGCCTGCGCAGTGACTACAAGCACAACCTGGTCTGATCAACACACAGAACCTCACAAACTCCACCCAATGTTACTGGGGCTCCTGGGTATGTTAAAGCAGATTTTTGTTGTACAAGTGTTTTTATGTAATAAAAACCAATAAGTTCCAGGTAAATGTGAAAGGTGGTTGCGTTTTTTTTAAAGGAACGATGTGCATTTGTGTATTGCTGGTAAAAAGACCCATTTTGTCAAAGATTTTCGTCTCACACTCATTGGGCCAATTTGTAAGTAGTACCAATGTAGAGGGCAAACAACATAATAGAGGATAGTATTGAATGGTTGTCTAGTTGACCTGGTAGGTGTAATGCCATAGAGACTGCCTAAGTTAATGATGACTGACGGTTCACATAGAGCTGACAACACCTTCCCAAATCAAAAACCAAAGAACTGCGGATGCTGGAAATCAGGAACAAAACAGAAATCGCTGGGGAATTTCAACAGGTCTGGCAGCAACTGTGAAGATAGAACGCAGACTTAATATTTTGGGTCTAGTGACCCTTCTTCAGAACTGAATATAGCTGGGAAAAGGTTTGTATATACACTGATGATGGGTTGGGGAGATGGGGGAGCAACTCTGTGGGAAGCTAGAGAAATGATTGCTGGGTCCCTTGCTGAGATATTTGTATCATCGAGAGCCACAGGTGAGGTGCTGGAAGAGTGGAGGTTGACTGATGTGGTGCCACTATTTAAGAAAGGTGGTAAGGAAAAGTCAGGGAACTAGAGATCGATGAGCCTGACATCGCTGGTGGGCAATTTGTTGGAGGGAGTCCTGAGGGACACGATTTACGTGTATTTAGAAAGGCAAGGACTGATTAGGTATAGTCAACATGGCTTTGTGTGGGAAATCATGTCTCATGAACTTGATTGCATTTTTTGAAGAAGTAATGAAGAGGATTGATGAGGGCAGAGTAGTGGATGTGATCTATATGGACTTCAGTGAGACATTTGACAAGTTTCCTCATGGTGGACTGGTTAGCAAGATGCCATGGAAAAAAGGGACAACTTAGCCATTAGGATACTGAACTGGCTCAAAGGTAGAAGACAGAGGGTGGTGGTGGAGGGTTGCTTTTCAGACTGGAGGCCTATGACCAGCGGTATTCCACAAGGATCGGTGCTGGGTCCACTGTTTTTTGTCATTTATATAAACGATTTGGATGTGAATATAGGAGGTATAGTTCGTAAATTTGCAGATCACACTAAAATTGGAGGTGTAGTGGACAGCAAAGAAGGTTACCTCAGAGTACAATGGGATCTTGATCAGATGGGCCAATGGGCCAAGGAGTGGCAGATGGAGTTTAATTTAGATGAATGTGAGGTGCTGCATTTTGGAAAGGCAAATCAAGGCAGGGCTTATACACATCCTGGGGAGTGTTGCTGAACAAAGAGTCCTTGGAGTGCAGGTTCATAGTTCCTTGAAACTGGAGTCGCAGGTAGACAGGATAGTGAAGAAGGCATTTGGTATGCTTGCCTTTATTGGTCAGTGCATTGAGTGTAGGAGTTGGGAGGTCATTTTGCAACTCTACAGGATATTGGTTAGGCCACTTTTGGAATACTACATGCAATTGTGGCCTCCCTGCTATTGGAAGGATGTTGTGAAACTTGACAGGGTTCAGAAAAGATTTATAAGGATGTTGCTTGGAGGATTTGAGCTACAGGGAGAGGCTGAATAGTCTGAGGCTGAGGGGTGACCTTATAGAAGTTTGTAAAATCGTGGAGGGCATGGATATGGTGAATAGCCAAGGTCTATACCCTGGGAGTCCAAAACTAGACTGCATAGGTTTAAGATGAGAGGGGAGATATTTGAAAGGGTCCCAAGGGGAAACTTTTTCATGCAGAGGGTGGTGCGTGTATGGAATGAGCTGCCAGAGGAAGTGGTGGAGGCTGGTACAATTACAACATTTAAATGGCATCTGGATGAGTATATGAATAGGAAGGGTTTAGAGGGATATGGGCCAAATACTGGCCAATGGGACTAGATTAATTTAGGATATCTGGTCGGCATGGGTAAGTTGGACTGAAGAGTCTGTTTCTTTGCTGTATGACTCTGACTCCATGACAGTCACTTGAGGTTGGAATTGAACCCAGGTCCCTGGCACTGTGCTAACCATTGAGCCACCATGCCACCCTGTAGGTGGAGATGGAGCCCAGAGAGAGAGAAACAGAAAAAACAGTTGGGCAGACAAAGGAAAGGGTAAAGGTCAGCCTGGGAGAATGAATAGCTGCTCATGAGGACCATTAGTAGCTAACAATGGCTTGGTTATGATAGGAGCCCATGTGATGACAAGGCCTGCTGTGTGGGGATTGGGGTTTGGACACGGGAAAAGCTGCTCAGGTCCTAAAATTGTGGCACTCCATGTTGAGTCCTGAAAGGGTTTCCAAGCGGAAAATGAGTTGTTATTCTTCCAGCTTGTGCTGAGCTTTGCTGGAGCACTGTAGCAACCCTGAGACAGAGATATGTTGGCCAGGGAGCACGGTGGTGTGTTGAAGTGGCAGGCAGCCTGAAGCTTAAGGTGTTTTTTTTTCCCTCCAAGACAGAATGTAGGTGCTCTGCAAAGTGGTCACCCAGTATGCATTTTATCTCCCCGATGTAGAGTATACCACATTGTGAGCAACAAATAGACAAGATTGAGTGAAGTGGAGGTAAATCACTGTTTCACCCTGGGGCCTTGGAGGGTGAGGAGGGAGGAAGTAAATGGGCAGGTTTTGCAATTGAATGGGAATGTGCCATGATGACATGGTTACATCCTGACCAATCAGCATCTACTTGCCAATCAATCAGCACTGTCCTCCTGTTCAGTGTAATTGGTGTTTTCCCTTTCCTTTGATGCTTCCTACGGATTGCTGTGATGAGTACAAGATGAAGAGCTTTGGCAAAACGTGACTGTTTTTCCAGCAATGCACAAGTACTGAGCTACCAAATGTTGATCTTCCAGCAGTTTTTCCAGTGTGGATAATGGACGTGGCTGGTTCTGATTAGTACTGACTGGGGAGAGGGTATCACCAACTCCATCTCCAGTCTGGGTAGCTGATCTGAATCAAAGCCACCCATCAGCTTGTTAAAACTGATGTCAGTGTTTCTGAGCTGAGAAGGGAGGGGAGTGAGTGAACCGTCATTCCTGCTCCTGATCAATGCTCGTTGCACCCAACAGCATAGATGAAGGGGACAGGCTGGGTCAGCTTGACAATCAACATTCACCCTTGAGGCACAAGAATGTACAATTATAACTTTGATCTGATACTTTCTATACTTACAGCACCTTCACTAAAAAGGGAGACTGGGAAGAAATACTTGTGATCCTGGTGTTGACTGTGAGCATGCCTGCAACTGGTAAAGCACAAAGCAAATTATGAAGGAAAATCTGAAAGACATTTAAACTGCTCTTTCTCCACCACATGGGAATGAAACCTGTGACTCAGTCTCCTATTGGACTTTCTGTATATAGTGATGGCTGGCTCTATGATGTGATGCGCATTTCTGCCCTTTCCCTTATGTCCTTTGCTGCTAATTTTTTTTTATTCATTCATGGGATGTGGGCGTCACTGGCTGGACCTGCATTTATTGCCCATCCCTAATTGCCCAGGGGGCAGTTTAAGAGTCAACCACATTGCTGTGGGACTAGTCATGTGTAGGCCAGGCCAGGCCAGGTAAGGAGGGCAGTTTCCTTCCCTATGGGACATTAGTGAACCAGACATGTTTTTCTGACAATTGACAATGGATTCATGGTCATCATCAGATTCTTAATGTCAAATTTTTATTGAATTTGAATTCCACAATCTGCCATGCCAGGATTCCAACCCAGGTCCCTAGAGCATAACTTGGATTAACAATCCAGCAATAATACCACTAGGCCATCACCTCCCCATTGCCTCATTTCCTTCCCTATCATCTATGTGCATTGGTGATCCAATAGATACATAAATTGAAAATTTGGGCAAAGGTCTCTTCTCTCTGCACGAGCCTGTGATTTAAATGAACGTGACGGGTTGATAGTGACCCAGTTCCTTTCAGCACAGGATCTCATTTTCACTCAGTGGGCCAGTGAAATGGGAATTTGAATACAAGAGCAAGGAGCTTATGACGGAGCTGTGAACAGCATTAGTGAGGCCACAGCTGGAGTACAGCGTGTAATTCTGGTTGCCACGCTATGAAAAGGATGTGCGTACACACAGGAGAGGGTGGCAGAGGAGATTCACCTGGGCTGGAGTGTTTCCGCAATGAAGAGAGACTAGATAGGCTGGGGTTAATTTCCGAAGAATAAGAGAAGGCTGACTGAAGAGTGCACAACTATGAGGGGCATAGACAGGACAGATGGGAAGAACTGTTTACACTTAGTAGAATGATCAGTAACCGGGGGCATGGTTTTAAGATAAGGCGCAGGAGGCTTAGAACAAAGTTAAGGAAATTTTTTTTTCATCCAGAGCATGGTGAATATCTGGAACTCTCACTGCCTGAAAGGTGGGAGAGGGAGGAACCCTCAGTATTTAAAGAACTATTTAGATGAAGACTTGGAATACCATTTCATACAAGGATATGGTGTGAAGTGCTAGAAAATGGGATTAGAATAGTCAGATAGATGTTTGATGACTGGCACAGATGTGATGGACTGAATGGCCTCTTTCTGTGCTGTTAAAAACTGTCTGACTCTAAACGAGGAGTTCACACTGGTGGTGTTGGACTGTGGGATTAATGTTAATTTGATTTATTCAGCCCCATTCTACTTCACTGCCTGCTTCCTTGATTTCCTTAGATCCCAAAGATCCATCATCCTCAGCCTTAAATCTGTATGTCGGAGCAGGGACAGAGATGTGCAGATTATAATAGAGCCAGCATCAGATTACCATGCAGTCATCATCTTCTGATAAACCAATAACACCAAATAGGAGAAGCTGGGATAAGTTTCACTCCCGTATGTCAGAGGAAATAGTGCAGTCTGATTTTACTTTGTAATTTTGTTTGTCTGGCAAGGTGAAGGATGGGATTTTAAATTGAGCAGTCAACGGCAAGCTGGTCAACTTTTCTCACGAATTGAGTGTAACTGTGTTTCTGTGCAGGGCTGCTCTTCTTGCTGCTGCTGTTTCTGTTTCTGTTTCTGTTGGTGAAAAGGAAACAAGAGAAGGAGCAGGTAAAACCAGATGGGCAAGAGACCAATCAACAGGAAAAACACCCTCAGCGGGAATCTGCCAAAGAGAATTTCTCAAAGGATCACCAGTCCGCGCCTCATGCTGGAGTAGAAGTGATTAATTCTGAGTCGTGTGCTGCTGTGCGGAAGAAACGAGATGAGTTTGCACCAGTGACAATGTCAGGGGCTCAGCAGGATGGCGAACATGCTCAGTTAACAAAAGGTGACCAGGAAGTTCTGTGCACCACAAACACATCTATCATTTCATCATTTTCTGAGGATTGGGCAGGTTTTCCAAGCAAGAAATTTGTACAAAGTAACCAGGAAATGGAAAAACACGACAGCATCCCATCGCAAGGGAGCTTTGATCCATCACTGACAGTCTTTGTGGAACAGTCAGGATCAGCTCTGAATTCCAAATCAGTAAGCAATCCAACAGCATTGGACAAGCCGTTCTTTAAGAACCTGGGAAGGACTGATGGAGCCAAGCAGGATAGGAATGGAAATGGCAAACCTGTAGGAATGATCCTACCACTGTCCAAAACGTCAACTGGGAATGACACCACCTGTCCAAACTTGAATTCAGATGAGGACTTGTCTTCATTGGCAAATATATCAAGAGGCCCACAAGGAGCAGACAGATTAATCCACGATGAAGCTGATGATGTATGCGATTCAAGTATGGACTTCACAAGCCGTCTGACCACAAGACAACACGACAAGGTAAGTGTGACCCCATCGAAAGACGGAAGCCAAAGAAATGCTGGAAATTCCATAGGAAGAGTTGTGGGTGACAGAGGAGCAGAGCCAAGGCCAAAGGTTGATGCGATTGATCTGAAGAGTGAAGCCAATTTTGGAGAAAGTAACCAGACTTCAACTATAAGGGAAGACATGTCAATGACTAAAAGGTTGAGAAGAGGACGACTCGGCTCTGAGATAGAGGTTTTTCCAGGCACAAGATGTGATGCTATGATACCAGCCACACCAAACAGTGAACAAACAGTGAGTACAAGCTCCCCAACCAAAGAGAAATCCTCCCGGAGCAGTGAATATGGGTATGTTAATCTATTGCATGAAATTGTGGAGAATCAAGGACGTCGCACCAGAGATCGATGGAAGCAAGCTGCCAGATATAAAATAATACACAAGTAATACCTTTTCACACCATGGTTAATAGTTTGAGATGGTTATCAAAGCTCCAAGTCTAGTGATAGTCATGTGGTGAGTTTCCCATTTATGTCCTTGTATTGGTATCCAGTTATACGATGGGAATCTTGAATAGCATCATAGCGCTTAGTGAGAGATGGGAGACAACCAGCAGAATTTTGGATGAGCCAAAGCTTATGGAGAGTCTACTCAAAGGCCAGCATGGAGAACATTAAAGTAGCTCTTGCAGAGATGTTTCCTTCCTCTTGCACAGTCTCATTTTAAAAAAAAACAACTTCGAACTTGAAAAAGAGGTTTGGATTTTGGAGTATGGTGGAACAGTCAGTGTCCGCCATTGTTACTCGACTGAAACTCACTAACTTTGAGATTCTACATATCCACGGACTAACATGGAAATCTAGAGGTCACTGTCGACGATTCCACACTTCTTTCCAGGAGGTAGTGTTGAGACACCCTCAAGTGCGAATCTGTGAATTCATAAGAGCTTCTGTACTTGTGCTATCATCTTGCTGGGGAAAGAAAGAAAGTTGAAAATGTTGAACTTTGTTTAATGTGTAACTGTCTTTTGATGGCAAACTGACCTCATAATTACTTCTAAACACCCTCACTGGCCTTGAAAAACTAATTTCAACTTCACATTCTAGTATAAAAAGGATATACATTTTAATTTGTTAACGCTTGTTTATATTTATAGTTTAGCTTCTAACGAAGTCAAAACATAATCATTTACTTCTATATTAGAAAATTTAATGTAAAAGTGAAGGACAATGTATTTTTAAACTGTTTTGCTGTGTGAGAATTATTCACAGAATCACAGAAATGTTACAGAGCAGAAGCAGGCCATTCGGCCCAATGTGGCTGCACTGGCTCTTCGAAATGAGCATGATTACCTAATGTCAAACTCCTGCCTTTCCCCCATACCTTGCACACTTCTTTGATCTAACTACCATCCAATATTCAAAATGATTGCAGACATGAGCAAACCCAAGCCAGCTTTTGGAATATATAGTGGGTTTGCATTTCTAAATGAATCCAATGTGAGACTGATTGGTCACTGCTTCAAAGTTGGAGCCACTGTGATCTTACCGTGCACAAACCCATACCTTCAGCATAAAATAAGAATAAAATGACTGCTCTAAATTCTCAGAAACTCCTTTTAAACAGCAAAATCTGTGCCATTTTCTTCTGTTCTGCCCTTACAATGGAGACAGCATCTGAGATATGATTCAACAATGTGCCAAATAACCTCCACGTTCACTTCTGTTGGCCAATGGATCCAGTTAGTAGTTGTTAGCATCTGTTTGACTGTGTGGGATGATCAGGTCTGTGCTCGGGCAGAATCCACACAAGTTAACATTCTTCAGCAGAGGGTCACCATCATATAATCAAATAAGGGAACCCCCTCATCATCTCCTGTCTCAAGTCCGCGCACACTGTGGCTATTTTGAAATAGCAGAATAATTCACCTCACTGAAGGTCACAGGTATAATGACAAGGCTAGTGTCTTGCGGCATTTCAGTGAGTAATGCATCGTTGCTTCTAAATGTAAGCTGTCACTCACTTTAGGGCTTTGAACAGAGATGCAATTATCTAAATTGTGCAAATGTATTGCAATTATAGATCATTGCAGATGTGAATTGAGGTGCCTTTATCATAACATTAATAGTGGAATATCATGTTTGTTGAAAAAATAGTGGGAATATGGATTTAAAATACAGCATTTACTTCAACTCAACAAATGTATTTCTTAGCGCACTAGGTAGAAATGAGTCTCAAATTATTTTGTTCTGTGATTTTCTATCAGCCAATCAAAACTATTTGTCATTTTTGTTCTTGCTGCTTATTTTGCAATAGCTGTATCATCTTCTATCTGAATAAATTACGCAAAATATGTACTTTTCATAGACTTGACCTAGGTTTCTTACTCTTTTATTTCCTGCATGGGTGCATACTTTTGTAAATGTGGCATTGAAAACTGAAATAATAAATTCTGGGGAATGGATTGCGCAGTTTCCTTGTATCTATGGTAATTGGGATAGAATCTAAACCAACCTGTACAGAGAGTCTACCCATCTCTCTCTCTGTGCTGGTTGCACAGAACCTTGGGATAAGCCGGCATCTCTGTAAATTTGCCAGGCTCTTTCCTGTGTCTCTGCAATTGTCCTCTCGATCAGGCTCACAGAGTGACTTGTAAATGTGACTTCTCACATGCAGAGGTTCACACGCAGGACCCTAATCTTTGCAAACAGAAGGATCACATCCATGCATTGTGCCTTTACAACTAACGCTTGGCGGACATTCTCTTTGGAAATGCCTTGACCAATCAGAGTGGACTTGTCTGGTTTGAAATCAAACAAAAGTGTGGCAGTTAACTAAAAACTGAAAGAACTGAAGATGCTGTAAATCGGGAACAGAAACAAAATTGCTGGAGAAGCTCAGCAGGTCTGGCAGCATCTTTGAAGGAAAAAACAGAGTACGTTTCGGATCCGGTGACCCTTCCTCAGAACGCTGAGGACAGCTCTGAGGAAGGGTCACCGGACCCGAAACGTTAACTCTGTTTTTTCCTTCACAGATACTGCCAGACCTGCTGAGCTTTTCCAGCAACTTCTGTTTTTGTTCTTGGCGGTTAACTGTTGCCTTGTGTATTCTCCATGGCAATGTCTCGACCAGAGTCCATTTGTCAACCAATTAGCACACTCTTCTCATGTAGTATAAATTGTTGTTTCCTTTGAAAACTGGTATTCTTGCAATTCTGTCCTGATTTGTACAAAACAAAGAGCTTTGACTGCAGGTTTCTAAGATCTTTGCTAATTTTCTTCTCACTCAAGTAGTTATGTAGTTCCCTCTTGAAAAATACGATGGAAACTATATCAGCAGCCTATCGGGAAATGTCCTGCATTCCACATGAATGGTCTCCATCAGATAAGGGTCGTGCTAAATTGCCCATAGTGTCCAGGGATGTTGGGTGGATAAGCCATGGGAAATGCAGGGTTACAGGGATAGGGTAGGGGGTTTGGGTCTGTGTGAACTCAAGGCTGAATGATCTGCTCCTACACTGGACATTCTATGATTCTAATAGAAAAGAGTTGCCTGTCATGGTCTTGAAATTGACCAGCAAGCTATCAATCCTATCATTGGAGCAGGCATCTGCCTTGAATTTCATGGAGTATTTGATTCCTGTAAAGGGACAGTCCAGGTTAGCAACTAAGTTGTGCTTCTGATCCCAATGTTTGTAGAGTTTGCCATGGGAGAGCCATTTACCCATGCAGTTTTCAGAGTCACGTTACAGGTGCATCCTTTCCTATCAGTTAATAAATCCATTAACTGAAAAGACTAAGAATATGAAGACATTTCCTGCACCCCAGCCCCACTCCGCCCCCCCGCAACTTGCCCACTTGTAAGGTGCTATGGGGACCTGTATCTCCTGTTAATGTTTGCGTGTTCTAACATGGCTCATTAACGTCTGCTATGAATGATGGATCACTGTGAGAATAAATCCTGCTGGTTACTGAATGTCCAGACCGCTATCACACTACAACCAACAAGACCAGAAACAGATGGTGGGTGATAGAGCAAAGTTTGTGAAGCCTTTTTGCATTGTGTAAATTTGTTAAAAGTTACATTGGACAGGATGAAAAGTAAGTAAATACAATGCATTGTTTTGACTTTCAGATATTTTATACTTCTTGTTTAAAATTCTTTGGCTTCCTCTTGTGTAGAGTTGGTCGCCCAGCTATAGGAAGGATATTATAAAGCTGGAGAGGGTTCAGAAGAGATGTACCAGGATGTTGCCGGGTATGGAAGGTTTGAGTTATAAAGAAAGGCTGGGACTTTTTTCACTGGAGCGTAGGAGATTGAGAGGCAACCTGATAGAAGTTAATAAAATAACAAGATAGAGTTAATAGTAGTTGTCTTTCCGTTAGGATTGGGCACATTTTTAAGGTTAGTAGAGAGAGATTAAAAAAAGACAGGAGGGGCAAATTTTTTTTTGCACGGAGAGTGGTTCACATGTGGAATGAACTTCCAGTGGAAGTGATGGATGTGGGTACAATTACAATGTTTAAAAGATATTTGGATAAGTACATGAATAGGAAAGGTTTGGAGGGATATGAGCTAGGAGCAAGCAGGTGGGACTGGTTTAATTTAGGATTATGTTCGGCAGGGACTGGTTGTACTGAAGGGTCTGTTTCTGTGCTGTATGACTCAATTGTCTGTGTATTCATCAAAGCTGTAGGAGGCAGAATAGCAAGTCTCAACCAGCCCTCTGAGTTTAAGTAGCTTAGCTGTATCTAAC